CTAATGCTGAGAATTAACGTATGTGCAACTATGCCATAAAAAGCTATAGGGCACTATTGTAAATGTATAATTTTGTTAAGTTGAGCTTAATTAACATATATTTTACCCTTCCAAATGGTTTATAGAACTAAAAATAAATTTAATAACAAATAGTTTTAAACATTCTCAAGACAAAAAAAATCTAGCAAAAAAAAAGATCAAGCTTAGACATTCTGGGAGTCAAAATTATAAAGAGAAAGACCAGTGATAGCTGGCCCATCCTAATACTCATGAAGCTGAGAGGAAAATATTGCAGGCTACATTTTAAGAGTATACATTTCGGGCTGGGAAGGTGGCTCAGTGGTAGAGAGCTTGCCTTTCATGCATGTGGCCCTGGGTTCGATTCCTTAGCACCACATAAGCAGAAAAAAAAAGCCGGAAGTGGCGCTGTAGCTCAAGTGGTAGAGCGCTAGCCTTGAGCTGAAGAGCTGAGGGACAGCGCCCAGGCCCAGCGTTCAGGCCCCATGACCGGACCCCCCCCAAAAAAATAAGAGTATACATTTCAAGACTTTAATCTCAAAAAGAAACAAAGAAAAAGATTAGGGGGCCCAGTAGCATAGGGAAAAAGAGGGATGACTAGGTAGAAGTCATATTATGATACACTTGTCAAAAGGTATACATACATTGTATAACATAAGAGTAACCCTGTAAACTATAGGCTTAGTGCTTAGGCATCAATGCTACTTGGAGAATGTCAACAAAATTATCATGCTAGTCCAAGATGTAAATGAAAGAAAGGAGAATGTGGAGACTTGTGGATAGTCTATACTTCTTGCTGAATTAGCCTGTAAACCTAAAAACTGCTAAAAAAAATGTGGAGTTTTTTTTCTTCCTTAAATGAAAAGCCAAGGGGCTGAGAATGTGGCTTAGTGGTAGAGTGCTTGCCTAGCATGCATGAAGCCTGAGTTCGATTCCTCAGTACCACATACACAGAAAAAGCCAGAAGTGGTGCTGTAGCTCAAATGGTAGAGTGCTAGCCTTGAGCAAAAGAAGCTCAGGGACAGTGCACAGGCCCTGAGTTCAAGCCCTGGGACTGGCAAAAAATAAAATAAATAAATAAATAGCCAAATGCCCTTGTAAGCTGAGATTTGATGGTTATGGTTCAAAGTCAGTCTGGGCAGGAAAGCCCATGACTATCTTATCTCCAATTAACCACCAAAAAAACAAAAGTAGAGCTGTAGCTCAAGTGGTAGAGCATTAGCCTTGAGCACAAAAGCTCAGGGACAGCACCCAGAACCTGACAGTACCAGCATACACACATGCATGCACATGCATAAAAATCAATCGAAAATGTGGGGCTTGTTTTCTTAAAACTCAACCTATAAATTGGGCATGAGTGGCTCACACTTATAATCCTGGCTACTCAGGGAGCAGACATCTGAAGATCACAGTTTGAAGTTAGCTAGGGGAATGAGACTCTTTATCTCCAATTAACCACCAAAAAACCGGGAGTGGGGCTGTGGCTCAAGTGGTAGAGCACTAGCCTTGAACAAGAAAACTCAGGGACAGTGCCCAAGCTTTGAGTTCAAGCCCTAGTACCAGTGCATACGTATGTACACACATACGTGTACACACATACACACGTACACACACAAACTAAACTCAAAAATAAATTCTACACAGGAATTTAGAAAATAATATGAATGTGCTTGATTGTTTAAAACAAAAATTCCCCCAAATACTTCATAATATAATGATCTTTTTATCTTTAGAACAATGCTGTCCAATATAACTATATGATGAAAATGTTCTAGTTCTGCTCTAATACAGATACCTAGCCATATTGGCTATTATAACACTTGATATGTGGCTAGTAGGCTTGACAAACAGAGTTCTTCATTTTTATTGAGCTTTAACCAACTTAGCTACATGTAGCTCATAGCTACTATATCAGCACAGTTGTAGAAATCCCTCAAGAGACCTCTAAAAAATGTACTGTAATATTACCTTCAGGAAAAAAAAAGTTACCTTAAGAGACCATTCAATTGGATGTAGTTATGAAATGAAGCCAGTTAATTGAGCAGGTCAAGAGTGACTAGGCAAGTGAGCCTAGGAGTTCAAGGCCAGCTTGGGCAACATGGAGAGAACCTGTTTCAAAAAAGCAAGGTGTGGTGATATAGGCTTGTAATTCCAGTAATCCCAGCATTCAGGAGGCTGAGACCACAGAATCCAAGTGAGGCCCTGTCTCAAAACAACAACCAAAAATGATTCAAACGAGAACCAACAAAGCCCATCTCGCTGGGCGCCAGTGGCTCATGCCTGTAATCCTAGCTACTCAGGAGGCTGAGATCTGAGGACTGCGGTTCAAAGCCAGCCGGGGCAGGAAAGTCTGTGAGACTCTTATTGCCAATAAACCACTAGAAAACGGGAAGTGGCGCTGTGGCTCAAGCAGTGCTTGCCTTGAGCTGAAGAGTGCAGGGTGCAGGGACAGTGCCCAAGTCCAGAGTTCAAGCCCCACAGCCGACCAAAAAAAAAAAAAAAAGAAAGCCCATCTCCAATTTTCCTCACTTTTAGTTCCATAATGGAGCCAAACAATGATTGTCACTTTTAATTCCTTCAATATTTCAAAACCCTAATTTGCTAAATTTTATTTCTGCTTCCTGAAAAACAAAGAGTAGAAGTTACGAATAGGAATATTTTCTCAAGTTAGTGACTGGGAGGAAATTATAATAAGGATCTCCCGGGCACAGGTGGCTCATGCCTGTAATCTTAGCTACTCAAGGAAGCTGAGAACTGGAAGATCAGAGGTTTGAAGCCAGCCCAGCAGACAAGTTTGGGAGACTCCATCTCCAAAATAACCAGCAAAAAGCTGGGCTGGTTTCATGGCTCAAGTGGGAGACAGCCAGGTGAGCAAGCAAACCCAGCTAGTCCTAGTCCCCATGCCCCTGAGTTCAAGCTCCATGTGTGTGTGTGGGGAGGTGGAGGTCATAAAGAATAACTCAAAAATTATTTCTGCAGATACGATGCCCTATTTTTTAGTGAAAATTCAAAATCTGGTATTTAGCTGTGCATTTCAATTTCATATCAAAGTCGGTTGAAATCACAAGGAAAAATAGTCTCAAAGAAGTATAAGAAAATAAAAAAGGAGTACAAGGTAATTAAAGCAGACAAGACAACAGACACATATGACTATTCATATCTAGATACTAAAAAGCTCTGTACCTCCAAGGGTCATTACCTCTTATGGGGTAGTTTAAAATACTACCTGATTAAACCTCAGTTCCTAATTCAATGACTTTCTGTCCTTATCCCAGTGGCATAAAAGGGAACTTATGTCCTCAATTGCAATAGCCTTTTATCTGAGTTCTCCCCTGGGGAACCTATGAAATCAAACACTGAGATTGGCTTTCTACCCTTAGGGAATAGTCAAGTGTCCAGAATGACAGTGTTGAATCCCTAAAGTACATTTGGTCCCTGGCTTTTTGAGTTCTACAAGTACTAGATCTTTCTTTTAGGAGAGAGAGGGAAGACGGAGGAAAGGAGTGGGGGAAGAAGGAAGAGGGGAGAGTGAGGAGAGGGAGATAATTGAGTAATACCAACTTCTCATGCAGAGACATGAAAATACCTGACCGTAGAAACACGCCTGGCCCCAAAAGCCAATTCTTGACACTTTGCTCAAATGTAAACCAGACCTTTGTTCCCTTTTGAAGTTCATGAATCGCATTAGGAAAAATATTATTTCGTAATTTCATACAGGAATGATTTCTAAGATTAGCCAAATACATAATTAAGTAATATGAAATAGCCCTGAGTGATCAAGCAAGACATCTTAACAAATGTTCACCTGCAAGAAAAAGGGACGGGGATTCTACCTCTCAGCCCCATTCCCCACAGTTCTCTGTCCCAGGGCTTTCCAAAAGCCCAGTACCCCATTCCTTGTGCAATCTTTCTCAAACTCCACCCACTGAGCTCCAGAACAAGTGGAATTCTCCCGTTCTGAAAGAGGTCTCGATTTCCTGTATCCAGGGAGACATTGAAAACTCCTTGACAAGAGTCAAGTAAGGCAAGGGGAACCGTCCAGCCTGCCTCCCAGATGAAGAAAGACCAAAGGCCAAGTCGGGGAGGCGCTCAAGTTTCCCTTACCAAATTAAAAAGGAGAAAAAGAAAAGAAAAAAGAAAGAGAAAAGAAAAGAAAAGGTGAGGAGTTGGAGGACTGGGAAGGCTATTAGATGCTGCTGCTCCCGACTGGGGGGGGGGGGTCACGAGATTCTTCAGCATCCCCTCCCCTACCCCCACCACACGTGTAACCAAGGCCCACAGTGCCCAAAGACGAACGAACCCCGGGGGCCTAGGTCCTAAGGGCCAAGCGCCCCCCCACCCCGCCACTCCCCACTCAGTCCCGCAGCGTTCACCGCCCGTCCGCCCGCGCAGTGGCGGGGAGCGGAGAGGGGCGGGGGGAGGGGGGCGCAGCGCAGCCCCGGCTCCCGCTCTGTTATCTTACTGCGCAACAGCCTCGCCTCAACAACCCGGGTGCAACCCGCAGCGCACCCTGCGCACCTGCCGGATGCAAAGTGGGCTAACCTATAACCTCAGGGAGCCCCAGACAGCGGCGTCCAGCGCCCGGAGCATCATGACCGCAGGGGCTAGGAGCGAGGGAGAGAGAGGAGAACACCTGGCGTCCGGGGCCCCGCGGCGCCGGCCGGCCGCACGTGGCTGTCACACCTGGCGCGCCCCCGCTTTGCACACCTACCCCCTCAGTCGCGGTGTATACTGCTCTCCTTCAACACCCCCCCCAAGTGCCTTCCATCCCCAAGCCCCAACCATCATCCCTACCCATCCCATCCATCCCAGTCGCATCCCCCCCCACCTGCTCCCACTGTCGTCACCCCCCGGGAGGGAAAAGGGCCGGATGTTCGTCCCGTGGCTAAAGGTAACCAGGGAGAGTGAAGAGGTGGACCCCGAAAAAAGGTAACCCGAGTATACTCCCGATTCAACAACATGAAGGAGTCCCTCTGACCGACCTTCTGCCGAGGGCTGCGTCGCCGTCCACCCCGTCCGGCCTCGACAGCCGCCTCAGCGCCGCCGCCTCTTCCCCGCGCTGCCTCCTCAACCCGCGTCGCCATGAGGTGACGGCAGCAGCCAAACAAGCGGCCCGACCAGGGGCAAGGAACCTCGCAGGGCCTTGCGCTCCGCCCCTGATCTACCACAGCCAATCACTGCATGGGAGTTTTTCCACGTGACAGGAGGAGGTTTGCCCCCAAGGGAAAACCGCGAGATGGGGGTGGGGAGCACTGAATGCTGGGTTGGGCTTCTTCTAGGGCCGAAGGGCAGACCGAGGCCCCACGAGTCTGCGCTAACCGGGAGAGGGACTTGGGAGCGAACTACAAGTCCCAGAAGGCTGCACGACCACCGCTTACAGGCCCGGATGGGGGGGATTCGAGTGTTAAGCTACATTATGAGCAGTGAAGTTCCCACTCTGCTGCGCGCGCAGCCTACTGGGATTTGTAGTTTCGGGAGTTGATGTCTCTGTACCGAAAGAGAGTCAATATTATCCCTACCGGAAAAGTTTGAAAACATTCCAGTGTTCGAGAAGGAACAGAATCAGGGCACTTTGACGTATTCTTGTTTTGGTAGTTGTTCTTTGGAATTGAGCGCAAATGGTTTGGGCATAGAGGGGCAGTACTTCGCTATTTTCAAGGTGGGAGATGTAATGGCTTTCAATGTGCGCCTTGGACTCTGACACTTACCCAAGTTCAAGGACTCCACCAGAATTCTCACTGCACTTACCTGTCCGAAGCTCCTCTAAAGTGTGGGACTGCTTGCTACTCACCTGTGTTGAACTGTTTCTCCACACTTAGATTTATTGGATGAATGTATCCTGCCTTCTCCTTCATTCGTATCATTAGGTAAAATCGTCAAACTTGATTTGTCGAAAGTTATTTTTCTCGATATGATGTGGGGGAGGGGTCCTTGGAAATATTCCCTATTTCCTTCTGATAACCAGATCACCAACGGCCAAGCTTCTGAAAAGCACACTGTCACGAAATTCATAGTGTTTTAAAAGCTTTGTAATGAACATTTGTTCAGATCCTTTAGCATGTTTTATTACTTTTGAATACAGAACAGTGATAGCAGACGCCAAAATTTCAATAGCGTTCACGAGATTAAAATTTCAGTATAGAAGACATTCCATCTAGTAATTATAATTATTTTAGAAATTTGAAAAAGGTATCATCATTTTGTTTCACAAGACAGAACCAAACACCTCAATCCAGCCTTGTGATTTCAACACAAAAGCATAGTTTGAGACATAGATGGCAGTTGATAATGAACCCATACCCAGATTCCAGAGAAAGGATGGCCTTAGCCACCACATCTCATTTTTGTGAAGGAAAAAGGTCCCAGCAAGATGTAAAATAAATGTATCAGTTCAGTAGTGCAATTCTCCAGAGAATAGAGACAAAATGCACCATAGTTAATTATAGTACAGTAGAGAATCAGGTAGCTGCTAAAATTACAAGCACTTTAAAAATTGACTGAGAAAAAATTTAATCTTTGTAGAATAATAGCATGAGAACTTTAGAAGATTATCCCTTAAAATATTAATAATATTTTTCCTGGATGATGAATTGGGAGTATTTTTACTTCATGATTGTGTGAGTTATTTAAGAATAGATAGATAGATAGATAGATAGATAGATAGATAGATAGATAGATAGATAGATAGATAGATAGATGAAAAAATAGTTTATCTTGCCCCATTACTGGTGGCTCACTTCTGCAATCCTAGATACTAAGGAGTGGAGTGGGGAGGGAGCTTGAAACCAGTGCAAGCAGAAAAGTCTGGGGAGGGCTGGGAAGGTGGCTCAGTGGTAGAGCGCTTGCCTCACATGCATGAGGCCCTGGGTTTGATTCCTCAGCACCACATAAGCAGAAAAAGCTGAAGTGGTGCTGTGGCTCCAGTGGTAGAGCACTAGCCTTGAGCTGAAGAGCTGAGGGACAGCACCCAGGCCCAGAGTTCAGGCCCCATGACCGGCAAAAAAAAAAGAAAAGAAAAGAAAAGAAGGGGCTGGGAAGGTGGCTCAGTGGTAGAGTGCTTCCCTTGCATGCATGAGGCCCTGGGTTCGATTCCTCAGCACCACAAAAGCAAAATGAAAAAAGCCGGAAGTGGCGCTGTGGCTCAAGTGGTAGAGCGCTAGCCTTGAGCTGAAGAGCTGAGGGACAGCGCCCAGGCCCAGAGTTCAAGCCCCCCCAAAAAAAAGAAAAGTCTGGGGAACTCCATCTCCAAAATAACCAGCAAAAACTGTATTGGAGATGTGATTGGTATAGTACCAGCTTCAAGTGGATAAAGCCCATTAAGAGCCCTTCGAGACTATGAAGTCCTGAGTTCAAGCCCCAGTACACACACACACACACACACACACACACACACACACACACGGTAGTCAAATTTTTATTTTGAGCAACGAAGTAAAGAGGAAAATACAATGTATGTTGATTCACAGCATTACAAAATAAAAACTGGTTGCTCAAGAGAAACAAACCCATTTCTGGTTCTGTGAGAAAATGAAATTTAGAAATCTGTTTCTTACATGTGGCATTTTGTTTATTTGCTGTTTGTGGTATTAGGGATTGAACCCAGGGCCTGGGTTAGGACATCTTATAAACATCTCTAAAGTAAGCTCTGGTGGTTTTTCAATCTATCCACAAAATTTTCCCTTCCAAAGGTAGAGTCCGATTTCCCTTCCCTTGAAAGAGAGCCAGATTTAGTGATTTACTTCCGAATAGAATGTGGCAAACAAGCCACTTCCAAAGCTGGGTGAAAGTATATTTTGTGTCAGGTTCTTTCTTCTTTTTTTTTTCCCCCTACAGGAGAACCAACCAATCAGATGTTTTGCTTGACCTGTTCTTTCTGGAGATTTTTATCTCAGATATCTTTGGAGAAGTGACAGTAAAGCCTTACCCCCCCAGGCTTTGGAAAGCCTTTCACTTATCTCTGTTGGGATCCTTTGTTGGACTTATATTTTCGGTCTTCAAAGGCTATCACTTGTTGATATTTCTAAGCCTTTAAGGGGCACCCCTTGTCCTGTCTACACACAGTGTTCTCACCTTTGCTCTGGGAAGTATTATCTCTGTTAAGACTTGTGCCTGTGCACTGTGCTTGACTATAGGGTAAAGGCCACAAGAACAGCAGCTCCTCATTGGGTAGAGGAATTATCTCAAGGCTCACTAAGGGTTGTGAATATAAAGGCTCCAGTGCTGGGGGTGAAACCCAGGCGTCATGCAAGATTTCTACCACTAAGTGACATCCCCAACTGTATTTAGATGTGTATTAACTTTTTTTTCTTTTTTCTGTCAGTCCTATGGCTTGAACTCAGGGCCTGGACACGGTCCCTGAGCTTCATTTGTTCAAAGCTAGCACTCTACCACTTGAGCCACAGCACCACTTCCAGCTTTTTCTGTTTATGTGACACTGAGGAATCAAATCCTGGGCTTAATTTATGTTAGGGTTAGCACTCTACCACTAACCCACCTTCCCAGCCCTGTGTCTTTAGCAATCAAGTAAAAATTACTATGGGGAGGGGGAGAATGTCCTGGGACTTGAACTCAGGGCCTGGGTGCTGTCCCTGAACTTTTGTGCGTAAGGCTAGCACTATTCCACTTGAGCCACACATATTTTGAACACTTTATTAGACACCAGGCATACCTGCATTTAGAATAAAGAGCTAACAATGGACAGTCAAATATACCAAAAACAATAGCATAATTAATAATATGGAGGTAGGTATTACAGAGTAACCTTGGGCGTGTGTGTGTGTGTGTGTGTGTGTGTGTGTGTGTGTGTGTGACGCGCCCACCAGTGCTGGGGCTTGACAGGACCTAAGCTCAGTCCTGTAGCTATTTTGCTTAAGGCTGACACCCTACCATTTGAGCCATACCTCTACTTCCAGGTTTTTGTTGATTAATTGAAGATATAAAGATAAATATCTCTCATTTATCTGCCTCAGGCTGGGTTTGAATTGGGATCCTCAGATCTCAGCCTCTGGAGTTAGCTAGTATTACAGGCATGAACCACCAGCTCCTGTCCGCTGAGTAACCTCTTGAGGGTTAAATGTAGCACTGGGGAGGCTTAAAGCAGGTTTCAAGTGACGGCTGAGCTTCCTCTAAACAGGTCAGTAAGAGTTAAATTAACCACATTAGTTTGACTTGTCTACCTCAAAGTATTTTCAGAAAAAGAAAAGATCCTAACCTTTAAATCATTCAAGAGTATCACTTCATCAAGACTTGAATTTCATGTTTGTTGCGTATTATTAGGGTTGTAGGCAGTGAAAAGGGGTATTTACGTTTCATAGAACAAAGAATTTATTGTTTGATTTGATTACCCAATACTCTTTCTGTGCTAACCTTGATTTTAGTTCTTATAGGAGTTTGGCCAGTTTCTGCATTTGCTATAGATGTCTGCATTTCTGGCAAACACTGAACTATTTGAAAAATGATCGTACTTTCTACCCATGTCATTCAGGCATATTGAAGGCAGGCTTTGAACATACTACAGATTGTCAGAATGACAGCTCTAGCAAAAAGCAGACACTTGAAAAACTATCCTCGGGGCTGGGAAGGTGGCTCAGTGGTAGAATGCTTTCCTTGCATGCATGAGGCCCTGGGTTCGGTTCCTAGGCACCACATAAGCAGAAAAGCTGGAAGTGGCGCTGTGGCTCAAGTGGTAGAGCACTAGCCTTGAGCTGAAGAGCTGAGGGGCAGCGCCCAGGCCCAGAGTTCAGGCCCCACAACCAAGAGAAAAATTAAGAAAAAATAAAAATAAACTATCCCCAGCCCCTCTATACATCACCTTTATAATAGCAATAAAAAACTAATAATAAAAATTTAAAAAACTATCCTCAAGAGCCTGGGGGATAGAATACTTACCTAGCATGTAGAGGCTCTTGGCTCCATTCCTTGTACCCTACCACACACGAAACAAAATGAGAGAGAAGAATGTTCAGTATTAAAGAGAAATGGAGAGACCAAAATAAAAGAGTTATATACATTGCAAAAATACTGTATCTATATCTATATAGTATATTTTAAAGTGCTGGCATTTGTTTTGATTGATCTCTTTAACACTTGGCCTTTCAAGGAAATGGAAACTATATTTCTATAGAGACAATGAGAAGGAATACATATAATGCTCATGAGTTTAAGTTTTATTGAAAATCATTAGGACATTAAGGGTGTT